AAAAGCATCGTGTTACATGATGGTGTAGTAGTTTTGGAGGGATTTGGAATGTAGGAAAGAATAGTTAGGAAGAGTAATGAGAGTAGATGGGAAAGAGGTAAAGATGCTAAAAGGACAGAGGAGGAATAATGGAAAACAGAAAAGATTGCTAGGGAGTTAAAAGAATGGGAGACAAGAATAAACGGAAATGTAACACTCAAGAGTACAGCTGCATTCCCAATAAAAAATATAATTTTACGACTACATATTCCTTACCCTTTGTTCAGCTGTTGTTTCATCACTGCGTTTCTTCTCATCCTTAAAGCAGCTAGTAGCTTCTCCTTTCTTTGCTTTGGCTTCCTTTCACAAACATAACTTCATGCAGGCGTTTCTGCGAATCCTTTTGCCACATCTTTCAAAGCTTCATTTAAAAAAAAAGAAGTGAAGGTGATGGATCCAGAAAAATGAAGCTATTGATTTCTGTTTTAGGTATCTTGTGCTGGAATATATCCTCGCTACGGATCTCAAACTGCATTTCGATATAATCATGCAGTTCAATGAAAAAGCACACGACATGGATTTGAGTAACGAAGCAGATCGAGTTCTCATCTCACAGATGCTTATCAAATTTGCTGATATTAACAGCCCTTCCAAACCGTATTCATTGCATCGCCAGTGGACCGATCGCATTTGTGAGGAATTTTATGGACAGGTAAAAAGTTGGTATTAGCGGATGCAGATTGAATAATGAAAGTACTCCTTATTAACTGGGTGATCCGGAAATTGATTTTCAGCTAATCATTTTACAAAAAAAATTTGAGGTGCAGCAGGATGTAGTGTCTACTTATAAAAATTAAATATTTCATAAAGATGATTTAAGCCAAAGCATCAGGGACTATTAGCAGAATGTGAAAAATCATCATGTAAAAATTTTCAGGATGTTAATCTCTATTCAGCCTATTCTGCGTCCTCTTTCTTCCATTGAGGATTTTTCTTCGTCAGACTGATCCTCAAACATCTTTACTTAATTAAAAATTATCCGTGGAAAAATACTGGTCTAAAGTCAGCGACGAAGCTTAAAAAATAATTTCTTTTGCACTAGAGCAGAATAAACTGTCCACCAAAAATACTAGAATTGCAAAGACCGCCTGCGACGTCGCTGATACTAAGGTGCATCTCCTGCTAGAATACTTGACTCTGCTTGACGAAGAGTCTTGATTCTTTCTTCTAGTCTAAAAAAAAATGTGAGCGATTATTATGATAATGGGAACGAAGAGAAAAGTTGCAAATGCTGGATATAGTTGAAACGCTTTTCCTCCATTTAGTAGTTTCCGGGTTCGGTTTGCCATTTGAGGTCGTAATGTAAATTGCTGCCAGCAGTGTTACCATGTTTGCAGTTTCACAGCAAATAAGATGATATTTAAGTACTGCACACAGCAGAGATCGATAAACAAATTAAAGGTAACAGTGAAGTGGAAGGTATGCAGGAATAAACTCCAAGACCGAGAAGGAATAAACTCCTGGACTTCTCCCGTAAGAGTCCAGAAGACCAGTTCCATTTCTAAAAATAGTCATACCTTAATCCAGCCTCTTTTCTTCTCCCTCCCTTGAAACTTACAGTAAGTTGATTTGACATGGACGTTAATCTCAAAACAGAATAATGGTGAAAGCTGGGCTTTCGCGATGCAAAGAAGTGTCGAGAAAAAGAAAAACGTAGCTGTTTGTTGCTGGCATTTGTTTATTTTTTGAATATTAATTTTGCATTGAAGTTTTGAAAAATGCAGTAAG